TTCTGAAATCTCAACATACCTTTCCTTTGGGCATGCCGTCTACACAGGTTTGGGAGTCATAAGATGGACACCACTTAAGAGAACATATGTTCATTAATCAAAAGATCCTATTTCCCATTGAAAACCCAGATTTCTGCTGCATGTATTAGGACAAATGGGTCAAAAAGCTCTATGACCCATGTAGGTGGCAGGGTGCCCTGATACAGAGGATGCCCAGTGTGGTATCTAAAAATGAGATGGGGAAGGCAATCGTGCTGCTAACTATGCAGAGGACCAATACTGCCCTCTCCTGGCAGAAGACAACTACTATGGAGTCAAGATGACTTTTCTTCAGTCACTATCTTGAGCCATGATCAAGAACATAAAAGCATCAAATAACATAAGACTTTGTGTCTAGGGGTCACAGGGATTTTCACGTAAAAGTACTAATGATAAATCTTCACACCTCATTGAAAAGAGGTTTTAAGTTTTACCTATGCCCTTTTCATTTTTTCAGGGCAGAACTCAAACCCAGGGCCTTGTGTATGGCTTGGCAAGAGCTCTACCATTGAGTCACGTTCCCAGTTCATTTAAGTCTTCACTGTAACTCACTGGACTGCTTTAAGTATTGTTACTTGGAGATACCAAAGAATACCAAAATGCTACTAACAGCTGTGACAACTTCAAACAGACCTACTTCAAATCCTTGCACTACACACTGGCCCACTCAAGCAATCCAATCTTTTCCCTTATGTTCTGTAAAAACTGGAGAAACAACAAACATGTTGCTAATATCAAATGTAAAAACTGAATGACAGCATGTAAGTAAAAACTCCATAAAGCAGAAAGGGCTTGCTATTATTAATTTCTAAAGGTCACGGTCATGGACAGGCACCAACATGCTGCAAATGTGTGGATCTCTATGCATGTGCTTATCCATGATGTTTTCAGGACTGTACAAAAATGTAAAATTTGGTATGTCAACCATAAAACATCCACAGATTGAGGAAAGGTGGATGGTTAACATTCTTTTGAAGTCAGCTTTCACCTGGGACAAGCAAAAGACCTATTAAGCAATATAAAATTAGCTATAAAATTGTCACAGATAATATGCAGAGCATTTAATTTCAAGGCTAAGGTGAATTTGCATGTCAATCACAGTGTTTGGCTGACAAGGGAAAAGTTTGGAGAGCAAAGAGTACAGTATTAGCCCAGTTCTAAAGAGAGATCATGTACTATATTGTTCACTCAAGTAACATTTAAATTATAAGATGGTTTAATGTAGTTCCAGTGGTATTTGAAATTGAATGCAAATGTGTTTTGTGAACATAGAAAGCATTCTATTATCATATAGCATTGTTGAAATATCTTTGCCCTCCACTTTCTAACTTTAGACATGAACACAAGGAAAAACGCTAATTAGGTATCCTCACACACCCAGTCCAGTCCTCCCCTACTCCATCAAACTAGTGAACCTACTGCTTCTTGATTCCATGCACTTAAGTACTGACTTCTGAGGTAAGATGTAATTTCCTTTCCTAACAACAGGGGCTAACATTTCTAAGTTATTTGGGAAACAAGTTTTCTCCCAAAGTTGAGCTAGACTGAGAACTGAGGGACCAAGGTTAATCATCTGAATAGGTCAGAGTATTTGCTTTCAAGTATTACAAGAAGTACACAGAGCACACATCTGGGTTATAAAAGCCCTTTTATAAAGCCATTTTTAAACAAAACAAAAAAAAGTTTACAAAAGAAAAAAGATACAGAAAAAGAATAACTTGCTTCGTATGTCCCCAAAAGAGGAAAAAAAATAATAAAGGGGACAATGCCAACATGCTCAACAATAAGGGGTTCTTATTCTTATTTTTAATACAAAATACAAGCAAAGGACACACATACTTAAAACAAAGCTCAGGAGCAGACACGCAGTCCTGGAAACCCTTCAATAAGAGCAAAGCAGGAGTTTGTTTTTTCTTTGTCTATGCAGATACATACAGAGACTGGGATATGTAAAAATTAGGTATCACAAAAGACCATCACACGAATTCTACCAATGCATGTTGTATCTATAATTCACAACATGGTCAACAAAACCATGTTCACTTCAACCCCATTTCATTTAAATTAAAGAAAAAACTTTTAAATAAAGTGGTTACATTCAAACTTTAACTTCCTTAAGTACCATGCTGCAGATTTCAGCATTGTTAAGGTATTGCAAGAATGCCCAACCCTCTGGGGTCTGATCATGTATCTAGTGGCATTGCAGTATGAAGAAAGGGATGCCCTGGTCTCAGCCCACAGACTAATTAGTTAATGCAGTTAAGCAGGTTCCTCTTTTACCCTCCCTGCTCAGAACCGAAAAGATTAAGGACTAAAATCAAGGAAGATGGGGAGTTTTAGAGCTGGCAAAATGAAGTCTAAAAGATGAATCAAAGCAAACAATTACTGAGAACTTGGCTGCTGCTTAACCTGGCAAGTCCTAAGTCTTTCCTTAAGTCTCTCAGGAACTCTGTATAAAGGTTTGCTGCAACACGTTCATGGTGAACAGACTAGTAGAGCTCTTATTTACAAATTTTGTTAACAAATACTTCTGGAGGAAAAAAAAGAAATCACTAATTTCCAGAAAACAAAGATTTAACTACCAGAAATGTACAAACACACACACACACACACACACACACACACACACACACACACACACACACACACAAAATACTTGAGGAGTTTTTATACATCTCGTTTTAGGACATAAGCCAAGTACTATCCCCAACCTCATCAAAAAGGGAACAACAAAAAGTCCCAATTTTACCCTCCCCCATAATCTAGAAAACCCTCCCTTACCCCTGATGTACAAAGTGTCTGCACAATGGTGGCATTCTACTAGCCACACAGAGCATGCTCAAACAGATGTCACCAGTTCAGTCACTCTATTGGCATGGCAACAGGCAGGTATATGGGATTTTTCCCAATAGTGGTTATTACGATCAGCACCACTGTGAATTGTGTGAATTAGGCTTTGAACAAAAGTGTAATTTACATATTTAATATTTAAAAAGAATCAGGTATCGAGTTAATCCAACACAAAGGCAAAATGAGTTGAAAATTAAACTTTGCTATCAACAACTTGATGTCCCAAAATTCAAACAATAAACCAACTCTTGATTTTCAAGTAAACTCAGCTTCATCCACAGGGAAAAGGACACATTTCTACCCTCAAGCCAGAAATGTGTATTACTTCTGTTTAAGTGACCTCAGTCTAAATGTTATAAAGGCCATAGCCTGTTTCTTCCTTTCCAAACTCCTAAGGTGAGATTTTTTTCTTTTCAGTGTAACTACTGGTGATGTAGGCAAAGAACCACACAAACTGCCAATCACACTTTACAACACCAACAGTGGTCTATGATCTTTTATAAAGCTTTTCCTGTCTTGCCTTTCTAACACTCACAGCAGCTCCTAAACTGAACTGTTTAACAAAAAGCACTTTTCCTTTCCCCAATCAACACTCATAAATCCACTTGTTACTTGAATGTTCATGGATATGAAAAGAACAATTGTAAGAAAGTGTCAAGTTCAGCGTAGATGACCATATTCACGAGTATAAAATTTTACTAGATTATAACCTCAATCCATTCCATTTGTTATCCGTAAGAAAATGCTATTCAAACCAATACCAAGAGTAAGTATTAAATTTGACGACTGAACTGGGGCAAACCAGTTATTGTGAAAAAAATCACTCTCAAAGCTTCTTCAAGAGAACAAAATGACTATTCTTCAAGATCAAAAGATTTCCTCTCACTGCCTCCTTAAAGGAGGAAACACTCGTTAGTTTTCCTTTATGGAATCAATATGGAAATGGGAGATATGAAAAGGGAGGGCATTTTAGAAAGCAGGACAAATTTATCATTACTGAAATTAAAATTTATCCTTTGGGCCCACTCCCTCAATTCTGATCTGAGATGAAGAGGGCTAAAACCAGCAGGACAGAAACTACCCATTTCTATTTGGGGGAGGAAGGCTGGATAAAAGTATCTGAAGAACTAGAATGTAGTTTTAGGCAACATAGCTGCTGAGATCTATATTATTAGAGGTAAACCTAGCAGAGCTAACTTAGAGAATTCAGGTAACATAAACAAGCACCTTCAAGGCTAATGACCCTCTTCCTGAGCACTGCAAAATAAGACAGTGAATACTATTGCCACCTCACCAGCAGCACACTAGGAAAAAAAAAGAGGGAGTTAAGTCAAGGAAGGCGTTAATGGCTAGTCACTACTGGCTTATAGCTGTAAAGCATCCTGATGTCATTGTCAAGCCTGACTACTGAGCATCTGTTTCCAGTTGAGTCATCGTAACTGTCCTATTTGCATGCATGATTTGAGGGGAAGACTAGAGTATCTTAAATGATCAATAGTAAGTGAAGAAAACAAGTCATTCAGAGCCCATCTCACTTGAGGACACGGATCCTCATCCAGCGTATGGAAAACAGAGAATATATATTTTATCTAATGAATTAGTTTTAAAAGGGACCCTAAACAAAAAGCCCAATCAAACGCATAAAAGTATGTGCATACATCACAGAGATGTTGGTACAAATTAATGTATAAAGAGAATTACACAAAAAAATTGAGGCAAGTTTAAAAAGAGACCCCTCTCCACATCCTCATGAAACATAGCCTAAGAGAAGCCAAAATGTTACTGGGAATGCAAGACTTACATACAACCCCTAAAAAATAGAAGTGCCTTATTGGCAACACTGGTAGGTTTTTTTTACTTTATGAACACAAAGACTTTTTTGTTGTTAAAAATGGATATCCGAACAAACCCCACTGAAGCAAACACAGTAATCCTTAATACCCTCAAAACAAAGTTCACAAGTATCAATTTAACCATCATGTAGATAATAATCCAACTCTGCTATGTTCAAGTCTTGTATTTTTGGTCATGTACTAAATTTCCTAACTCATTCCTTAACACACAGTGCAACAATGAAATAATTCTCTGCCACTGGGTGTTTTTGTTTTTTGTTTTTTAAAAAAAAAGTCAAGAGTTAAGAATGTTCTTTAAAGTGTCTTAAAAACCAGAGTAAAAATATTCCTAAAATAACCCTTTGTCCTAAGAATACCTGCAAGAAAGCCACATTGTCTGAGAAAAACATGCTGTCAACTTAAAAGAAAAAAACTACAAAAGTAGGATATTGGAGAAGCAAATCTACATTAAATGCAGGAAAAATGCAGAAACTAAATTTCATTAAAATTTCAGTTTATTGGCATACTAGGACCTCTAAACTTTGCTCCCATTAGCTCACGGTATCAGGATATGGAAGATCAAACCTATAGATCTATCTCCCAGCTGCTTTCCTAAGGCATGTAAAAAGTCTGTTTTCAACAGCACAGGGGCATCGTAAAATGCATGTTTTATGAAATCCTGTTGAGTCTGTCTTCTGCTTTGAGAAACACAAACAGTAGCTAGAGGGTCAGACAAAAAGACCTTAAGCAAAAGCAAACTATGGCAAAAACAAACTCAACAGCATAGAAGCAGCATTCATTATACTTCTCATTTGGGCAGTAAGTGAAGAGCCAGAAAAATAGTGTCCTCTAGTAGAACTGGTAGGGACTGGGGACAGGGTATGCACTGGCACTCTGTGTAGCAGCAGGAAGCAGAGAGGTGTACTTCATATCATGTTTCTACAAAGAAAAGGGAAGACTGGAGTATAAAAAGGAAAAATATTCTATCCCCAAATAATAACAGCGTGGTTCATGGGATCTGAATGCTCATTTATAGCACAAAAGAATTTCAACTCTGTTTTAACAAAGGAAAAAAAATCTCAACCCTTTGTGACTGAGCTTCACATTAACTGAAATTTTATTTCTTTAAAAAACCTAAACATTGTCAGTATGAGAAGAAATCCACTGTGTTATGTAGATTCATCTTGCCATTTAAACTCTAAGGTGTCTTTTTGCTTTTTTTGATCCTTGGTAAATCTTATCCAAAAACAGGATATACTATACATTTTAAAAACATGAAGCATTAGAGAATGAAATATGAAATCAAGGGTGAATTCAGTTTGGCAGCCCCTGTATTTTTTAAGCTCCTTAAAGACTGAAGCAGAATGAAAGGATCACTGGCTCCAAGTCTTGTTGAGATAACAAGTGATGAAATAAAAAAAGAAAACCCACACCCCAAACAAGATCAGCCAACCCCATTCCCTCCCATGCCCAAGGTAAAAAATATGAGTACTTTTAGTAACAATTCAGAATTCATCTTTATCTCCTACCTGCTTCATCAGTGGAAGTTTAGAGTCATGATTTTTTTAGACAGTTATACTTATGTATATAGACATATAAACTCATATAGATGACAAATGATTTTTAAAAGTCCAGGCAGAGGAAGAAGCAATAATTTTTAACTAACACCTTTTTGCATTTTGATTACTATTTAACTTGCTACTCTTTAGCAAAAACAAAACAAAACAAAAGAAAACAAAGTTTCCATAGTGTTCACCTCAAATCTTATTGCTTTACAACTGTGGTATACCTTCCAATAAAAAAAATAAAAAGATGAAGCAGTCAATCCAGTGATTAATTTGACATGGCTTTCATTGGGAAAAGGGGGGAGGGGTGGCAAAGAGAAGACTAACAGACCAAAAGGTAACTTAAACACTTCAACATACAATGATTTTCAGAGAGAGAAAGAGAGAGAGGTTATTTTCAACAAATGGAAAAAAGCATTGTAAGCCTGTAACTCAAGCCATAGCCAAAACCATGTTCTATCTTAAGTAGGCTCTCTTTTCCCCCTCTTTTCTTCTTTTTTTAATAAAACTTCTCCCCAAACTATTATCACTTTTAATCCTCCCCAGACTGGGCTTCATCTTCAGACCCTTCATCCCCAGATTTCTCAGGTGGGGGACTTGCAGATGTCTTCTTTTCTGGAGGACTTTCTGGTTCCTCGTCATCTTCTTTGGGAGAAGGAGTCTTTTCCTTTGATGTCTTTGAAGCTGTGGGGCGACCCACTTTCCCTTTGCCTTTCACTGGACTTGGTGTCACTGAAAAGAAAAATAATTTGGGGAGGGGGAAGAGAAAAAAATGTCTAAATAAAAATCAGCTATAAAATAATATTTTTTAAAAATCCTGTAAGAACAGTATCTGTAAACAACATCCCAACTTACTTTTTAAAGAAAGGTGGGCATTATAGTACACATATAAATTTCTAAACAGGTCATAATAAATTACTACAATACGCTGCAGCAGTTTCCAATCATTTTTAAAAATTAATTTACGTATTTATATAGGGTACCATGTGAAGTTTTGATACATGTACACACTGTGTAATGTTTAAATCAGGTTAAAGGGAGGTATGAGGATAGGTAAGACACCTAAAAAACTAGACAGCATTTGTTGCCCTCAACTCAGAGAAACTAAAGCAGATACTTTAAAGCAACTGAGGCCAATAGGAGAAGGGGTCCAGGAACTAGAGAAAAGGTTAGTTCAAGAAGAATTAACTTAGAAGGTAACACACATGCACAGGAAATCAATGCGAGTCAACTCCCTGTATAGCTGTCCTTATCTCAACTAGCAAAAACCCTTGGTCCTTCCTATTATTGCTTATACTCTCTCTTCAACAAAATTAGAGAGAAGGGTAAAATAGTTTCTGCCGGGTAGCGAGGGGTAAGGGGGGGGTAAGGGAGGGTAAGGAGGGGTAAGGAAGGGGGCGGGGGAAAGGGGGGAGAAATGACCCAAACATTGTATGCACATATGAGTAAAATAAAAATTAAAAAAAAAAAAAATCAGGTTAAACCTATTTTGTCAAGAGTTATCCAGTCTCTTTTTTTCTTTTGAGACAAGGTCTTGCAATGTATCCCAGGCTGGCCTGGAACTCACCTCAATCCTCCTGCCTCAGTCTCCTGAGTACTTGGATTACAGATGTGCACAATCACACCTCGTTATACAAAATTACTTTACCAACATTTTAATGTTACGTTACTAGTAATGCTTTTAAAAGGAGAAAGATTTATATGATCTGAAGACAAACCAGAGTATAATAGTAATAATGCTTTTAATAAAGAAACAGGATGCTATAGAAAAATGACTATCATCATTAGTGGGAAAGATATGGCTTGAGTAGAAACCAAAGTGTGAAATAATTCTTTGATAGCTACATCATTCCCAACAGTGTGAAGTTAAAAAAAAAAATCACTAATTCTATTTGCCAGAATAAAACTACTTATACCAAAAGCAAATCTATATTTCTGATTTAATTAAAAACTACTCCAACCAGGACAGTATCTGAAAGAACCCACCGGCTTCAGAGAAACCACACTAAACAAAAAGGATTGTTTTTTATTTGTTTTTTACCAGAACTACTTTTTTGGAGGGGCAGCACCAGGGGTTATTTTGACAGTAGAGGATGAAATAGATCATGGAACTTGAATCTATTACTGTGCATTTTCACAATTTCAAGTCTTCAGTAGCTGTTGGAACTGTGATTGGTTGGAGAACAGAGCAGTAACAACTATGTTGACACAGTGTTTCTCCCACTATACCCAAAACAAATAGTCATTCTCAAACATTGCTTAAACTTGACCATATGCTATGCTGACCAAGCTCTTAAAGGAGTTAAAGTTTTTATGAATAAGTGAGTGACACGTCCAGCTGCAGAAGGCAGAATCCTTTCAGACTTCTTGTATTCCTGTTAAGTATCAGGGCAATGCTGCAACCTAATGAAAAATTTATGTAGAGAAAGTACTGATTCTTAAAATTTTTTTAAAGCAGTGATTTAGCTTCACTTTTACACAGCTCACCTGTAGCCTTTAGCCTGGGTTTGGGCATTTTCTTTTCTTTTCTCTCAGGTTTGGACTTCTTAACCATCTTTTTGTTTTTCTTTTTTGAACTGCCATAGTCACTATCATCATCATCTTCCATTAAGAAATCTTCGTCGCTACCGGAATCTTCTGAGAGGAAAGAAGAATTTCAACGTCCAACTTAATGTACACATCCTTCCAAGTGAACAAAAGGAAAGAGTGCTAAGAATGACTGGATAAAGGGACTTGGGAGTCAAACACCACTGGATTCTATTTGCAGCTGCACTACCAATTTGGTTGGAGTTGCCACTGGCCCCATTTTAAAATGGCTTTGGCATGTACCCCACACGAGTTACATGATTGACTAATTCAAAGAGCTGGTGAAAAATAGAAGGCATAAGATTTAATCTGAATAAAGACTGAAACCAGATCAGGTTTGGTGATACAAAACTGTAATCCCAGCACTATAACTCCTGCTAAGGCCAGAAGATTGTGAAATACAGGCCAGCATGGGCTATGTAGTGAGACCCTGTGTCAAAAACAAACCAAAACTACAATCAAAAAACTGAAACTATCACATACGTAAATGATTTTTTGGTATACTTCCATCACTTTCATGTAGTACTGGTTGGTTCAGGGAAACTAAACAGAATTAACCTGGTACTTTTGGTCTAACTTTGAATAGATGAAATAAGAAAAGTACTAGTAAAACAAAAAATACATGTAAGTAGTCTGGATAACCTATGAAACATCTGAATCCTGTTCATATTTTTTGTGGGGAAAGGAGGTCTACATCCTCTTCTGCCAGGCTAAAAAACAAATCACAACAACACACTTGTTTCAACTAATACTCTCTTGTCAGTCTGCGTTTGGAAACAAACGTCTTTAAGTAGGTCATCCATAAGAAATGGTGGACCATCATGGGAATCTCTGATCATTTAAAACATTAATGGGTATCAGTACATCTTGTCTTTTAACAAAGAGTATCTATCTAATTTAAGGGACTGGGTGTAACATCTTCTAACATATTAGAAAAGCAAAAGTAATCATGGTCAGAAACTAGAATCACAAAGGACCAAAGAATATGAGCTAACTTCACATACTCTCCTGGAATGGTGCCTCATCCTCTTCCTCTGGCTCCTCCTCACTGCCCACATCTTCCATAAGCATCTCTCTCTGTTTAGAAGCTGCTTTAGATGCTGCCTGCCGTTGCTGGCGTACATTTTTATGATCATCTTTTTCATCTTCGCTGTCCTCTGTAATGTAAAATTATTGTGATGCAATTATCAAAGAATTTTGCATTTGACGGCTGACTGAAAAAGCAAACATAGTGGTCAATACAGGATATAACCTGCAGCCTTATTTCATTCAAAAAGAGTAAATTCTATCCTTAGAAGTTTCTACATACATGGTGGCTCATGCCTGTAATCCTACCTACTGGGGAAGATGAGGTAGGAAAATTGAGTTTGAGGCCAACCTGAGCTTCCTAGCTGGGATAATAGGCATACACTGTCACTCTAAAAATACTCTTGAGTCCTTTCATTGACAAAATCTTATCCAGAGGTGATTAGAGAATAAAGCAGACCTTGCAGACTGTAAACTAAATCCATCTGATAGGAGCTGTGCTTTTAATCAGTATAGAGCTAATGTATCTGAAATGCACAAACAACTAATGGGTGGGGGGAGGGCAGAATTAAAAAAAAAGAAATAAAGGTAAGAGATTCAAATTAGGGTTCACAAGGCACGAGACAGTGTAAAAGGTTAATACAATTTCTTTTCAATTTTGGCAACCACACAGCATACTTAAATAGCAAAGAAAACATAATTGCACAGTGGAGTGAATGTAGTGGAATCTTGTCCACCATCTACCTATTAGCTAAACAGTGATCTCATTGACAGTGAGATCCAAGAAACCAAAGCAAGGGTATACTAGCCAAAATTAACACATCCAGAAACAATAAGGAATAAAACTCAATTTTAAGAGTTAAATTTGAAAATAAACTCCAACAATAAAGTCACCAGGATTGAACATTGTAATTGCCCATGAAGACTCAGTCCCATCCAGATATACAGAATCAGAAATCTTAGGGTAGGACTCAGAATATGTATTCTGTATTACAACCCCAGGATGGCGAATCAATTCCCTTCTTCTTTGAAGAAGGAAACATCTTTATGATCCCAATATTTGAAACAGTGCCTGGTATGTGAAATTGCTTGTTAAAGTGTTTAGTGAATAGATTTATCCCTATTACATTAAAAATAGTTTACTACCTGCTGAATGAGAATCATCCTTCTTGGTCTTCACATCTTTTTCTTCTGAGTCCTCACTAGAAGACAAAAAGGAAAAAGAAAATGCTTCTAAGTCTTACGTCAAAAATCTAAATGAACGAAGACTTCTGATAACTGACTTGAGAAGAACACTGAAAAACACCTCTTTTATATATAAAATGTTCAAACTGGGATGCTGGTGCATAAGCATAATCTTATCTACTATGTTCAAGAAGTTGCTTCCAAAGACCCAAAGGAAAAAGGTATCTTAACACAGGTCTGGTTCATAGGAATATATAAGAAAAAATATCAAAGGCCAGGGATGCAGCTCAGTGACACTTGATACAAAGGCATCTAATACAAATGAAAATAAAAACTATATTTATCTCAATCATCCATGACACAAGAGAATAATAAAATCAAACAGTTGCAACAAAAAAAACCATCTAGGCTAGATGCATCTACACTGATGAGGCACTGTAACAGGCCATAAGCAGTACATTCTTATGAGAAATGTAAGCGAAAACGATGAAAAACAGTTGGGCTACTATTTAAATCTAAATTAAAGATACATTATGAAACTCTGGAAGACTGGTATAATTTGAAAGCACATTTTCTGAAAATTTTCAGCTAAAAAAATTAGAAGTCAGCAATATAAACAAAAACTGATAGACAAATGCATATATTTAATAGTGATTTTAGTGCTTTAAGAATCTTACAAGAACAAGTGAGAATATTATTCACTTTTTTGAACTGACCATCTGTAATAGTATTATCTTGAAGTGGTACAGCCTCATGGCTTAAAAAATGGACTTTGGGGTCCAACAGGCATGGTTTCAAAACCTGCTTGTTTATCTGCTGGATAGTCTTGGCTAAATCACTGAAGCCCACTAAGTTAACAAAACTTAATAGAAGTGTTGTGAGACTTAAAGGATAATTTTTATAAAGCACAAAACAGAGTCTGACATATAACATTCATAAATGTAGCTATCATCCTCACCACCATCAGCACTAAAGAGATCTTAAAGTTATGCTATGTTGAGTATGAGAATGTGTATGTATATCTTGAAAAAAGAGGTAAAAGTTACATGATCCTGGCCTCCCTGTAGTTATTTTACAGTTAAGTTACCACTCATATGAACGCATTTGTAAAATGAAGAGACAAGATGGCTAGGGAATATGGCTCAGTGGTAGAATGCTTGCTTAGCATGTACAAGGTCCTGGGTTTGCTCCCAGCACAGCAAAAACAAAACAAACAAAAAACAACTAAGGGAAATGAAAATGTCTAAAATGATTAAACTATTTAACAAAGGAGAACTGATTATGAGCCAGTAAAATTCAGTAGACTATGCAATTTAAGATTCTACAAGCCTTAGTTATGGTTTTGCCAGTGATTTATACTTGAACAGAAGTCACTTTTCTTTGCTATGGTTAGAATGAAGTGTCAATATGTATCAACCATAGGTTATATATTAAACAATCTTTCTGCTTATGTTTAGCAGTTTCAGTTTGCAGCAAGGGCATTCTTGGAAATCATCTCTGATTCAAGGTTGAATCCAAGCAAGCCACAAGACTAAAGAGGCTTACCTGTGGTCCCAAAAGTGCAGCCTAATAAGAATATGCAAAACATGAAAGAACACTAAGTACATGGAGATTCCACTAATTTAGAAATCCCAGATTGTCCTCATTTTGAAAAGGTGACAGCATAAACAGAACAGAAGACAAATCTCCTACCTATCTTCTTGTGAATTCTTTCCAGATCGTCTCTTATTTTTAGCTTCTCGGGGAGATGATCGAATCTTCTTAGCAGGAGGGCCTGAATCTCTTCCATAATCTTCATCTAAACAGAGCATTTTTCAAATTTAATTAACTATGTTATGATTTCTATATGTTAAAATCACCACTGTATTTATTGACATTAATTCTCTCTTATGCTATTTAAATGTGAGCATGGCAAGAGTTCTCAAATAGTTTCTTACATTAAAAAAAAACTTCCGGGCCTGGAGGTGTGGATCAAGTGGTAGAGCACCTACTTTGCAAGTGTGAAGCCTTGAGTTCAAACCCCAGTCCACAAAAAAAAAAAAAAAAAAAAAAAATTCCGGAGGGGCGGGGCGGCAGGGGAGATAAAAGAGAATGATGGAGGGGGTGAATTCAACTATGGCTTTTTAAAGTAAATTTTTTAGTAGAATATAATTCCTTATACGAGGAGAATTCACAGTGACAATTCTGATTAGACTTATATTGTATATTATTTACATTGCCCCATCATTTCTCCCCCTCAACCCCTCCCCATCCCACTTAACTCAATTACAAGGTTTCTTAGTTCTATTTCATCAACTATGATATATTGTAAAAACTTTGTAAATGTCACAATGTATCTCCAGTATAACAACAACATGGTAATAAATTTCCACCCCAATCCCACTCAGTGCAGCTCCATTTTTGCATGTTACTCTATAGTCTTCATGTACATGTATACACTTCAGATATCTACACCAAACACCACATCATTTTATATCATTCCCTTTTAACTTATGATTTCCCCATGTTTCAATATGCTCATATTTTTTTTTAAATTATTACAGCAAAATGGTTACATATTACAAACATTTTGGAAAGTAAAAAAACCTAAAATGATACAATTGTAGCACAATTTACTTGTTTTATTTATTATTATTATTTTTTTTTTTTGTGGGACTGGTTAAACTCAGGGCTCTGCAATTGCAAAGAAAGTTCCTCCCAATTTCAGCTTTCCAAGTAGTTAGGATTACAGGCATGAGCCACCAGAGTCCAGCAGGCAAAATTACATTTAAACTAAAGTATTAAATACATATGTTGTACTCTGGATACCCTGTCACTTCTGGAAAATACCTCCAAGTTCAAAAGCCCAACAAAACTAAAGACAGCCACCATTACCTTAAAAGGTGATTATTTCCACAACTGCTTACTGCACCAATATGTGCAATGGTGAGAAACTGGAGCTTCAGCAATTATTAAATTGTTGGATCCATTATAAATTCCATTATGGAACATCATAATCATTATTTGGAAATTTTCAAGTTTTTTTTTTTTTTCTTTTTTTGGGGTGGGATTAGGGTTTGAGCTCAAGGCTTGCTTGCCAAGCAGGCACTCTACCATTTGAACCACACCCCAGCCCATTTTACTCTAGTTATTTTGAAGATTGACTCTTGAAAATTTTTTGCCTAGGCTGGCCTCACATTTCGATCCTCCTCAGACTCCCAAGTAACCAGGAATACAGGTGTGAACCACTGGTGCTGACTCAAATCATTTTTAACAACACAAGACAGATATTCGTAAGTGAGACAGGACAGAAGCTAAAACTCGACTACATTTTTAAAAGGTAAAAAAACACAAAAGGCTAGAAGCTGAAAAGTAAAATTGCTGCACGCCAACAAAGGGACCTTAAGTATTAGCTCTGCTTCGATTTCCCTACCTGTAAAATGAGAATGATACAAAACATTCCATATCAACAGGATTGTTCTAAGGAATAAATTATTAAATAAACACCTGGAACAACTCCTGGCACATAGAACAAGAATTTAATTAGTGTTAGTATTACCACTTGAAGGTAGGATTATCTTGTCAGGTTTTTTTTATTCTTCTGAATATCTTTCTGCATTTTCTAAGTTTTCTCAAAGGGCACATATAATCTTTGTAGAACAAAATAAAATAGACAGTAAATCACCTGGAAAAGTTGAGATGAGAACACAACACTAAATACATTTTTATAACTAAGATTTAAGACAGAATACTTATTCTGTGATGAGTTGGTTAACAGACCAAAGTTGCTTCACAAAACAGACTCTCATCTTACTTTATTATACAAAAGCCCTTCCCCCATCAAGGTATAGATTTAACTATGTTCATAGCAGATTTTTCCTTCTTTTTGAGATGCTGCCCGGCTTGACCTTGAACGCCAGGGCTCAAGCAATCCAATTGCCTCAGTCTCCTTAGTAGCTGGGATTACAGTCTCACACTACAGCACTGGACTCTAAAACCAGGTAAGAAAAAATTATTCATGCATTTATTATCAATGATTTATAAGAAAAAGCTAAAGCTCAGACAAGTTCAAGTTTTATTTGACACAATTAATCTGGATAAATATTCTAAAAACAAACAAACTTATTCCAAAAGCATGATAAAAAGTACATAAACTGGCAATTCCTCCACTGGTCAGGCCAACATACGATTTGTTGAAATCACAAAACATACCTGCATCATCCGATTCCTGAAACTGTGAATAATCAACGACCTTCCTATTTCTGCAGAAAGAAGAGACTCTAATTTAGATCACAAATAAAATTTAAGATTTCTAAAACATCAGAATATATTATTTCATAAACTGTGTTAGCTCTCTGAAAATTTTTTAATAGCCCAAACACTTCACATTGTTACAAGAGTGTGCAGCTTAATCCAAGTAAAACTATACTTATATTGTTCACTCAGTGATAGCAACCATTCTTCCCCATGAAACCACCTCCCAAAACACATGTAAGAGCAAACAAACCAATTCATAAGTACATTATAGAAACACCATATAAATTAAGAGCTTCCACATTTACAACTCAAATATTTAAACGTTATTCATTCTTACTGCTATACATACAAACACCTGTACTTGATAAAAAGATTCCTGCTAAGCTTTTGTTCATGGCAAAAGCCTTTGTAACTATTATATATAATATTATAATGCATAAGAATTACGGTAATACTAAATTAGGCCTTACGAAGAAGAAGGAAAAAAAATTAACAAAAGGTTTGTTTTTTTTAGAGGTATTGGGGTTTTAAGTCAGAACTTGAGCCACTCTGTCAGCCCAAAAGATGCTTTGTATGGTGGTGCAGGCTGTAATCCCAGCACTCAGAAGACTGAGGCAGGAGCATCAGAAGTTCCAGGCCAGCCTGGGCTACCAGGGAGAATACTGACCCTCCCATCCCAAAGGGATGTAATTAAAAAAACAAAACAAAACAAACCTATGAAAGCCTCACAAACTTATGTAACCATCTACTTGACTAATGATTTCAAGTATTTCCTATACCAGGTCAGGTCACGTCAAACAAACCTTAATTTCAGTTTTCCAACTTTGTATTCTGAATCTAAAAGTTTGAAATTCCTCCTTTAGAGGAAAGCTTATGTTAGAACTCAAAACAGACGAGTCAGAAAAAGAGCCTTGGATAACGTGTACTACAACTGCAAACCCAAATGCTACCAGCTACACTTAAACCCTATGTAGAAGGAATGTCTTGGTGATATAGATTAAGTCAAAGTCAGAACAGTCAGAATGGAAGCATTGGTCTATCATTTTTTGTATGTAAGGATGAAGTGGGGTTGGAATAAATTCTGAAAACATATTTGGGGTTTACATAGTGAGAAAAGTATTGTTATTATCCTCAACTTTAGAATAAGGGAGGGAAGATTCTAAGAATTTTTTGCCTTCCATTTTTCTTTATTTTACCAAAACTATTTTTATTTTGTTTTATTATATTTGATGGATTTATATTACCAAAGTCATGTATTAACATACATGACTACTGGGGTTGGGGTAGTAGTTGAAGTGGTAGAGGACCTGCCTAACAAACATAAGACCCTGAGTTCAAACCTCAGTCAAAAAAAAAAAAAAAAAAGAGGCTGGTGCAGTGGCTCAAATGGTAGAGTGCCCGCCTAGCAAGCATGAAACCCCGAGTTCAAACCTAAGCACCACCACAAAAAAAAAAAACAAAAGAATAAAAGACCTATTAATCCCACCTACATGAAGGACACAGATTAGTCAAATTCATTGAGATATAAAGTAGAATGGCTAGCTCGGTGCCAATGGATCACACCTATAACCCTAGCTACTCAGTTGAAAGCCAGCCCAGGCAAATAGTTTGGGTGACCCTATCTCAAAAAAAAGTCCTTCACAAAAATAGGGCTGGTGGAGTGGCTCAAGGTGAAGGCCCCGAGTTCAAGCCCCAATACTGGAAAAAAAAAAGTAGAATGGTGACTGCCAGGAGTTAGAAGAGAGGGTAAGGGGAGTTGTTTAACTGCACAGCTTCAATTCTGTAAGATGAGGAGTTTTAGAGATTTGTTGTACAATAGTGTGAATGTAATTTTAACCTAAGAGAAGGGTGGTGTAGTTTCTAAAGAGATTAGTACCAATAAAAAAGAAGTCAACTATTTTGCAGAAGGACAATAGGAAACATGCCTTGATGACATCTTAGGAATTGGCTCGTTGTAAGACCTTGGCATCATCCCTGTGATGCTGGTTTTGCAGGTACACATAATTCAAGAGTTGTGAGGCACAGAGGCTTCCACAGAGATTTCCAAGGAAGGCCTGGGAGACCAGACAATGTGTGGAAGAGGGCAAAGTGTGAAAGTCCTAAGAGAGAAGCCGAAGCTGCAATGGAGACCCCAGGAAGTTAAAGAGATGCCAGGAATGTGGAACTCCTGCCAAACTGCAGGCAGTGAGCAGAGTCAGCCCAGGGGAGAGGCCATGTGGGCTGCAGCTGGCAAGGCTGTAGAGAAAAGGCTACCCAAGTCCTCTGAAGCTCACATCATGTTACCACATGCCCTGGATGTCAAACATGAAGTTACAGGATTTAAAATGTTCCCTGATGGGTTTTGGTCTTATTTGGACAGATCTTTCCATGGTATTCTATTCCTTTTGGAATGAGAATATTTATTGGTGCAGTTGTTATGTTTGAGTATGTGACTTGTTTTGATAGGGGCTCACAGTTAAAGAGTCTGACTTGAGTCTCAGAGAAGACTTTGGGAACTTAAATGCATTTAGTTCAGATGGACATGAACCTCTAGGGGCCAGGGGCAGATATTATGGTCTGGATAGGAAGCATACCCCCAAAGGACACATGGCTTGGTTGCCAGGCTTTTGTAATGTGGCATGATCATGAAAGTATATTAATCTATTGATGGACTTATAATAATGGCATTATTTGGAGGTGGGGCCTACTTAAAGGAAGGTCACTATGGGTAGGCCCTGGTTCCTCCCTTGCCCCTCTCTGCCTCCTGTCTACCATGAACCAAAACCTTTGAAACCGTAAGTCACAACCTTCCTCCCTTAAGTTATCTCAGTATTGTGTCACAGTAACAAAAAGCAACACCTCTAATACCAATACTCAGGAAGCAGGGCAAAGGACACATGGCTTTGGTTGCCAGGCTTTTGTAATGTGGCATGATCATGAAAGTATATTAATCTATTGATGGACTTATAATGGCATTATTTGGAGGTGGGGCCTACTTAAAGGAAGGTCACTATGGGTAGGCCCTGGTTCCTCCCTTGCCCCTCTCTGCCTCCTGTCTACCATGAACTAAAACCTTTGAAACCGTAAGTCACAATCCTTCCTCCCTTAAGTTATCTCAGGTATTGTGTCACAGTAACAAAAAGCCAACACCTCTAATACCAATACTCAGGAAGCAGAGGCAGGAGGAATCATGAGTTTGAGACCAGCCTGGATTACACAGAAAAACCACCTCTTCCTTTAAAACACAAAATATTTTAGCTTTTGATGATCTGAAAATAGGCAGAATTCTAAGAATGATCTTATAATGTTACTTAATCACAAAAACTGTAAAACTGGAGTAAACCAAAATATGAGTACAGAAGCAGTCCTATCTTGCTGAGGGCAATTAGTCAAAACAAATGAGCCATTCATAAATGCTAATAAGGGAAAAGAAAAAAGTATCTATGGCAACTGGGCTGTTCAAAAGTCTTTATAATGACTTATAAATAATTTGGTTTACTTCCCAAGTATGTCTGGACTGGAGGTGTGGCTCAAGTGGTAGAGCGTCTGCTCTGCAAGCATGAAGCCCCGAGTTCAAACCCTAGTCCCACCAAAAATATAAATAAATAAAGTTGATTTAGTTACTTCCCAAGTATGTCCTGCCTTCTAAAGATATTTCTTAAAAACAGCATACTAATTTCCACTATAGTTGGCCCTCTGAATCTGTGGGTATTCAACCAACCATAGACTGAAAATAGTGTTAATGGAAAACTCCACCTCTATCGAAGACATACACGTTTTGTGGACGTTTCCTAAACACAGTGTGGCAACTATTTATATAGCATTTACGTTGTATGCTTTAAAATAATCTTAGATTACTTAAAATACACAGGAGGATATGCATAGGTCATATGCAAATATGTCATTTTGTGAGGGACTTGAGTATCTACAAACTTTGCTCTGGGAACCAACCCCCACCAATACTAAAGAAACAATCTTATTTGAAGATTTGCCTTCTTTAGGGCTGACATACATTTTTGATGAACTTGTTCCCAGAAAAACTGGAAACTGAGAAGCTACATTACAGTAGAAACCCAATGCTTAATAATAATATTTAAGAGCTGGTGAGTGGGTAGTACATGCTTGTAATCCCAGCATGCAGAAGACAGGGAGAAGAATCATAAGCTTGAGGCCAGCCTGCACTATTTAGTATGAATATCTCAAAAAACAAGTCCAAGGGCCTAAGAAGTTCAACTTCTGGCTGAAAAAAACCAAAACAAAACAATCATAGCTTGCCAAAATATTATTACTTAAGAGCTGGATGTGGGCTTACATCCCACCTGGTCTGATGGGGTCACCATGCTTTATGTAATGCCTTTCCCTTACCTTTAATAAACTCTTATTATCTCCCTTACTAAAAATAATAATAAATAAAAATAAAAGAGTTAGATGTGGTACCATCTATAATCCCAGCACATGGAAGCTGAGGCAGGAGGATTCCAAATTGAGGCCAGCCTGGGTTACAGAGTGAGACCCTACCTTAACAAAATAAACAAAACCCACAAACAAACAAAAAACTATTACTTAAATACCAAAGCTAAACTAAACTAACTCTTCGGGATATAATGAGTATCAACAACTACAATACAAAACTTTAATATAGCACAGAAAAAAGACTTGCAAGTGTGGTGGCTCAGATCTGTAATCCCAGCTACTTAGGAGGTGGAACTTGGAAGAACTGAGGTTCTAGGCCAGGTGGGAACAAAAAGCAAGCAACACTCTCATCTCACCATCTCAACAAAAAAAGGTGGGTATGGTAGTTCACACCTGTCATTCCAGCTATTCCGGAGGCCTAAGTAGGAGGAGGATCCATGGTCCAGGCAAAATAACCAAAATAACCAAAGCAAAAAGGGATGGGGACAGGGCTCATGTGGTAGAGTACCTGCCTAGTGATCACCAGGCCCTCAGTTCAAACTCCAGTACTGCCAAAAAATAAAAAATAAACCCAAACCCAGGTTTTGAACTGGATTTAAATACTAATTTTTGC